AGTACTGCTTCTCAGCAAGATGGGTGAAAGAGGGATTGTCATTAAGATTCAATATTGGGTTTTCAAAGTGTCTTAGAGGCTGAGAAATTTGGGTACAATAATAAAAAAAAGAGTACATTGGAGCTGAGCCAGTTATGGCACAGGTGCTGGCAGCAGCACTGATAGTGGTGCTGATTCACTACAGGGGGAAGGAGAACAAGAGAAGGACAGATATGGTATGGAAAAACCTGAGATCAGAAAAGCAGCCTGAACTTAGCTGACTCAGAGGCTGAAATGTGCACTGGTGCTTGAAAAGTGCTCGGTTTCCCAATTGACCATGGAGAGTTGAGGTGGAGCCATCTTGGAGTGGTCACACTGAAGCTGCTGCTGCAGAGCCAGAAAATCATAGCAAACACTGCTACACTGTTCCAGCAAGAGCCTACTGTGTGGCCTATGGTGTATCTGGCTGAACATGGGTGAAATAGGCATGAGAAGATTATACCCAGGGAGATTCAAGTTGGAAAAGCCAACCTTTTAGTTTGGTGGCTCACATGACCAACTGAAACAGGTTGGGAAACTGAACAGTTGGGTGAGAATACACTCAGGGGCTAAGCCTGGGATAGCTGCATTCCTGAGCAACAAACTGTGTGGAGGATTGGTTCCCCTGCCTCACCAGTGGAATTCTTGGGAGGTTCCAGAGATCCAAACTCCCATCAGAGATTGACAACTGCCAGACCCAATGGGTGGGTCCATTTAATCTCTACAAAGAAGACACCACCCAAGCCACCCAAGCCACTGAAGCCTGGATGGATCTAAGCCCCACCTGCTGGACTCCCCTCATAGAACTCTGCAGAAGCAGAAAGTCTGGGAATGCACCAATCTGATCTGTATGGATGAAATCCCAACTGACAGTGCTTCCTAATCCATTCCGCTCATACTGGTAAGAAGAAAAGCTGAGACCAAAGTCAAGCAACTTTAGTCTTAGGCCACTCCAATTGGCAGMTCAGAGAGCAGCACAAAAATAGGAAGAGGTTAACAACCTCCACCCCTTGTTCTTTCTATCAGTACATAGCTAAAGAAGAAATGGAAAGAAAAACAGTTGGGCATAGACAGTGGCCATTCACTTTATTCAACTATTTTGACCAAATCAGTAGAGACAATTCCTTCATTTTTTCATTAAGAATCTTATCTCTCTCTCTCTCTCTCTCTCTCTCTCTCTCTCTCTCTCTCTCTCTCTCTCTCTGAAATCAGGAAAACTATCCATTTACAATAACCTAAAAAAGTGCTTTGGAATTAATCTAACCAAGTTATTAAAAGAGGTATACAATGAAAATTATAGAACATTAAAGGAAGAAATTGAGGAAGACCTTAGAAGATGAAAAGACATCCTATGTTCTTGGATAGGCAGAACTAGTATTGTCAAAATGGTGATGCTACCAAAAGCAATGTACAGATTCAATGCAATCTCCATCAAAATATCAATAACATTCTTCATAGAATTAGAAAAAACATTTAAAAAATTCATTTGGAAGAGTAAGAGAACCAGAATAGCCAAAGCAATATTAAGCAAGAAAAGTAAAGAAGGAGGCATCACAGTACCTGATCTGAAATTATATTCCAGAGCAGTAGTAACAAAAACTACAAGTTATTGGMATCAAAATAGACATGAAAGACCAATGGAACAGAAGAGAAGACACAGAATCAAATCCACATACCTACAGCCATATGATGCTCAACAAAAGTGCCCAAACTATATTTTGGGGAAAAGACAGCCTTTTTAACAAATGGTGTTGAAAAAATTGGATAGCTATATGTAGAAAAATGAAACTAGATTACCTTATCTCACCATGTGCAAAACTCAAATTGAAATGGATAAAAGAGTTAGGAATTAGACCAGAAACCTTACAACAGCTAAGAAAAAAAAACCTAGGGTCAACACTCCATATGGTTAGAACTGACTTTCTTAACAAGTCCCCCAAAGCATAAGAATTAAAACCAAGAATCAATAAGTGGAATGCCATCAAACTAAAAATCCTAGGCACAGCAAAGGAAATGACTAAGAGCATGAGGAGTGAGCCTGCAGAATGGGAGAAAATCTTGGCCAGCTACTCCTCCAATAGGAGATTAATATTCAGAATATGTAAACAACTAAAAAAACTAAACAACACAAAGAAACATCCAGTCAATAAATGGGTAAATGAACTCAACAGAAACATCTCAGAAGAAGAAACACAAATGGCCAACAACTATATGAAAATATGTTCAACACCTCTAGCAAACAGGGAAATGCAAATCAAAGCTACACTGAGATTTTATCTTACTCCAGTCAAAATGGCAATGATCATTTTAATAATAAATTTTAATATATTAATAATAAAAGGTAACACTTGTTCATTGATGGTGGGACTGCAGACTAGTATATGGAATCAGTAAGGAGATTCTCTAAAATTACTAGGGATGAAACCAGCATATGACCCAGCTATCCCATTCCTTGGTAATTTCCCCAAAGATCTAAAATTGGCCTACCACAGCAATACAGCCACCTTGATATTTATAGCAGGACAATTAACAGTAGCTAAATCATGGAATCAATCCAGATGCTTGTCAATAGACAAATGGATTACAAAATTGTGGTTTATATATGTAGACTGGAGCTATACTCAGCCATATAGGAGAATGAAATTATGGCATTTGCTGGTAGATGGATGGAAATGGAGAATATCATGCTAAGTGAAATAAGCTAAGCTCAGAAACTCAGGATGAATATTTTCTCTCATTTGAGGAAGCTAGCATTAAAGTAAAGGTAAGGGAGAGGAGATCGAGAGGTAGAGTGGAGGGATGGGAAAGGGGAGACCACCAAAAAGAACTCTTAAAAAAATCATGTTTGTGCATTGTTTTAGTCAACAATTTCACTGCTGTGACCAAAAGACCCAACCAGCACAACTGTAGAGGAGGAAAAATTTATTTGGGGGCTCATGGTTTCAGAGGTCTCAGTCTATAGACAGTAGTCTCCATTCCTCGGGGCTCAAGGTGAGACAGGACATCATGGTGAATGAGTGGGTGGAGGGAAGAAGCTCACATGATCATCAGAAAGGAGAGAGAAAGAGGGATCCATTTTCACTTGCTAAATACAAATATATACGCCCCAAACCACCCCCAGTGATCCACCTCCTCCAGCCACACCCCACCTGCCTCCAATTATACCACTCAGTTAGCCCCATCAGGGGATTAATTCACTGATTGGGTTAAGAAGCTCACAATCCAATCATTTTCCCTCTGAACTCTCTTATATTGTCTCATATGTGAGCTTTTGGGGGATACCTCACATCCAAATGATAATATGCATATATAAATATACCACAGGGAACTTCGCCTTTATGTATAAGTAAAAAAACTAATCAAATATATAGATGAGTGAAAGGAAGTTTGTTAGAGAAAGGAGAACCAGGAAGGAGGGAGGATGTGAGGGGAAAAGGGGAGGRGAAAAGAGGGGTCACAAACTGAAATTGAGTTTTATGCATGTATGAATTTGTCAGGTTGAACCCAACTACTATGTATAACTGTAAAGTTCTAATAAAAAAAGAGAAAAATGAAAAAGCATCTGCACAACAAAGGAAGCAATCAACAGTGAAAAGACAGCTCACAGAATGAAAGAAAATCTTTGTCGGATATTCTTTGGAAAGAGGAATAGTATCCAGGATAATAAAGAACTCTAGAATTTTAACACCAAGTAATCCAATAAAAGTGATTCTTATTCACCGATCCAAATGAGCTGAACAGAAACTTCTCAAAAGAAGAAACACAAATAGTCAATAAATATATAAAAAATACCCAATATCTTTTTTTAAAAAAAAGAGAATATTTTTTAGTTTTCGGCGGACACAACATCTTTGTTGGTATGTGGTGCTGAGGATCAAACCCAGGCTGCACGCATGCCAGCCGAGCGCGCTATCGCTTGAGCCACATCCCCAGCCCAATACCCAATATCTTTAGCCCTCAGAAACACAGAAGTCAGTCTCACCGAAGTCAGAATGACTATTATCAAGAAAACAAAAAAATAACAAATGCTGTGAAGATGTGGGGTGTTGGGGGGTGGGGGAGCAACACTTAGACATTATTGGTGGGAATGTAGATTTATAGAGCCAATATGAAAACCAGTATGGAGATTCTCCAAAAAGCTAAAAGTAGAACTACCCTATGATCTAGATATATCATCTTTGGGTATACATCAAAGGAATCAGCCAGCATACTATAGAGATACTAACATATCCATGTTTATTGTGACACTCTTTACACTGGTCAAATTATGGAATCAATTAGAGCATAACAGTAGAAGAAGGATTATGAGAGAAAGAGAAGGGACCTAGGGGGAGGTGGGTTAAGACGGAAGGAGGGAGGATGGATATGATCAACGTATGTTATATGCATGTATAAAATTGTCACAAGGAAACCTATTTTGTAAAATATGCACTAATAACCATGGAAGAAATCAGTGGCTCTATAGCAGTGTTGACACAAATTTTTCTAAATAGTAGGTATATTAGAACGGATGTTCACGCAGTCTCTGGGGCAACTATTTGGCTCTAGGCCATAGTTCTCTGACATTTGTCTTAGCAGATAGAAAGCAATAAATAATGAGAGAACAAGGTGGCTAATGTGAATATTGTTGCTATGTACATTTATGAAGAGGTACCCAGAATCATCAGGAATTTAAATCCCAATTCCTTCCAATTACAAGTTCAGAAAACAGGAATGGGACACCTGATCTGCACATATGCAGTCAGCCTTGGGCAACAATTTCTTGGTTTGAATGTGGAACCAGACCAAGAAGGCATCATAGGAACTTGTGTGTGGGGAGGTGTGTGTGGAAGAGATCTCTGAATTGAAGACTTTCCCCAAGTAGAGGACAGGGTAAAGCCTGAATCCCTGAGGTCTTCCTGGTTGTGGCCATCAATAAGAATCACAAAATCAAGTCAGACATTTATTGAGGCACTGGAGCCAATTCTTGATGCTGCAGGCCTTTAGATTGATACAATTTCAATGTGGAACTCTGGTTCCTTGGAAACGGCTTTACTTGGTACCTGCAGAACTTCATTGTTCTGGAAGATAAGGTTGCTCTCTGGGGTCTGGAACTCAGGGAGATTTTGGACCAGTTGGCAATATTGACGGCACTGCCACATTCGAAAACAGGACTGGAGCTTGACAGCTGACTTCTCCTGGATTACATACAGCCTCAGAAGTAATTTCTGCTGCTTATATGCCCGCCTCAGCAGGATCATCCTCCACCAGCCCTGAATCATCCAGACCCTGAGGGCAGCGACAAGCAGGGTCCGTCGTACCAGGTGGCCACGCCACCAGGCCTGAATCTTCTTAGCTGCCTTAATCCTTCTTTTGCGGCGTTTTTTAAGGCGCGACTAACCAAGCAAAGCAGAGGAATGTCCAGTGAATGTGTCACCGTCAAACACAGGGCAGTTCTCTTAACAGCCCTTTCCCTGGTGGTTCTGAAAACCCCAGAAAGCTGGGTAGAGTTTGGCCTCCACTTCTGTCTTATCCATGGGTGTGGACATACCTGTTCACCTTCTAAGCCACAGAGTCCTCATCTATGAAATGGGGTATGGGCTTGCCTTGTGGACTCACAGGTTCATGGAGCCAGGGCAAATACTTTCTGATCCAGAAGTCCCTCTGCAGACGTGAAGACCCAAGGGATCCTCACAAGGAAGAACCTCTGCATTTGTGGGCTGCATCTCAGTCCTAACTCAGCCTGTCATGCTGCCTCCTACAGCCTCCTGGGGTGCCACAGCCCTCTGGGGTCTTCCCTTACCTCACTTCTGTGGATGTCCGCTCCTGCCTCTCGGTCACTCCCTGTCCTTCACCTGCCTTACCACTTCTCAATGCACTGTGCCACCTTCCATATGGTCTGTGCACAGTTTGCCCAGGATAAGAGGGGATTTAGGGGACAGGAGAGCAATGCTGAGCCAACCCTGTGGGAGCAGAGATGGCTCCTCCACTTCTAGGAACTCTAAGGTGAAGAGGGGGAATCAAAGACCTCTGGTTCTTTCATGCTTCTTGGTTCCACCTACCTTCTCTTGCCTCTTGTTTTCAACTATGTGTATTTCTGGACCACATTTCTGCAATCAAAACGGTGAGGGGGCATAGGGTGAGGACAGCCTCTGCGCAAAATCCCCACAGCCCCAGGGCCCCATTTTTTTTTCCTGGGCTTCCCTCTGACATGGACATTTCCCCATCCCTGGGGCAGTGAGTCTGATGGAGTCTTACACAAGCTTTAGAGCCCATGGTGGGGGGCAGATGCTCAGGTGGTCATCCCCTGCTGGTGGCTTTTCCTCTGATCCCATCAGGAACAGGATGGGTGGTGGAGGAGATGGCCATGATGTCACAAGGGCAACTGTTACCCAGGGACCAGGTTGGTTTTCTTCAGGCTTACAAATAATGAATGGAGAGAAGACACCTGCCCATTTCCCCTCCTTCCAGGGATAGATGGGAGTTCTCAGGGACTGGGTCTGCTCTGGCCCACGGGTGACCTCTCTGGTCTGTCCCACCCTCGAACTCATCCTATCAGTCACAAGCAGAGTAGTCCATGTTTTCACAGGAAGGAACACGGGGCTCCCCACTACTCTGACTCAGGCTGGCTCGGCTTAGCTTACCAATCTGTGTTCCGTAACACAAGCCCTTCCATTCCGTGTCTGAATCTTCTTGGGACAGAGAGATTTTTTCCAAAGAGAAGTCACTGTGTAGGAGAGCAGTTCCCCATCCACTGGAGAGTCCTCGAGTGATGGAAGTGGTCGTGTTTCAAGGGCCCATTGGTCCTCCAACCTTCTGCCAACCAGTCCTCTCTGGCTGTTTCCACTGCCACTTCTGACTGCATTTCCCAGCCGAGACGTGGCCTCCTCATTTCAAGACACTATCACCTTTTCCCACATGGAAGGAGAGCTGGTGGCTTCTGTCCTTCCTCAGACAACCCAGTTCTCTCCCTCACCTTCCCATGAGGAGATTTGAAATTGAGGTCAGATCATGATTTTAGTCTCTATGCGACTGTGACTGAGGGCCATGCTGGGGGCACATTCCAACTCTCCATTGTTTCCCCACACACCATCATGAAATCCCTTTTCATGAGGACAATGTTGACATGTATACAATTTGACAGAACAGGCACTGACGGACCAGGGACCCACGGCCAGCATATCTCCTGTATTCTGCATTGATGAGTTAAGATCCCTGTCACCTCCAGTGATTCTCTGCAGCACCCTGCCAAGACCAGTGGCTTGCTGATGTCCCCAAAGCAGCTGTGGGAGGTATCTTCTAGGGTACACATCCTGCACGGCCCTGCTGACTCATAGGACAGGTTACTACTGCATACCACTAGGTCTAGACAGATTGCTTTCCACAGTGGCACCGCTAGCCTAACCTGTGCCCAGCTTCCTGTTTTTTTTTTTTTTTTTGCTGAACATATGATATTTTCATATGTGTTTCTCTGAAGAGGGACTTGACACTGTACCTGGGCTCCAGTCCTGGCAGAGTCTCCTGCAGGCTGAATGCCACCTGGGCAAGTCTTCTGGGATCTTCATATTTGTCTCCTGCCTCATGAAGAGACAGCACCACCCTCTTGTGGCTCTAGGTGAACTCATGCAGGCAAAGAGCCTGGGTGGTGCTGGGTCCTGGTACCTGCTCAGTGTCTTCTAGCTCTTTTCTTTGGTGCCTATTGGCCATTGGCGTCTCTGTGTCGACTGGCCCATTTTGTCTTTGGTCTGTTTTTCTACTGACATCCATTTTTCTCGTCTGACTTCCTTGGATAAAAGTTTTGCTAATATCCTTTGCCAGATGGTTCTCTGACTTTTACCTTTTTTGTTTTTTTGTTCTTTCATTCCACAGACAGCTTTAATTTTAGTTTGAGATCTTCTAAAACTTTAATTTTAATATAAAAAAACTTCATGAAGCTAGTTTTTAAAATTTATTCTACATTGCTCACAAGTAAGTAAAAAAGTAAAAGCAACTGGCAACCTCCTGCCTTATTTCCTCCCAACAATTTCACCTATGGCCGAGACAACTGCTTTTAACTTTTATATAGTCCTGTGATTTACCTCAATTACATGCTATATTTGAAAATTTTTATTCTCTGTCTTTATTCTCCATGGTCTTCTTTCCATGCCAATAAAGACTTACCTTTCCTGCCTTTCTCCCTCCTCTCAGTATAATTATAGCCACACTTTTTAAGGCAAAACTAGTAATTAGTGTCACCTCATTGTGATCATGTATACTGTTCAAGGCTCAGCAAGGGTATATTTCCATTCATGAACTTCTCATTCTTCTTGGAGCTAGTGATTACCTTGTTTCTATTAATTCTTCCTTAAACTATTCACAAACTTGTTATTGGAATAATTTCCTTTTTTCCTGGAGCCCTGTTGCCTTTCTCTCTCATCTGCTTTAGCTGCTGTACTGCCATGTCATGTTTCTATAGGGCCCCTCACCATTTCCTTTCCCTCTCCTGGGAAGACCCCCTACTATGAGATTCCACATGTAGCAGGTTGGATTTCATCCAGGATGCAGAGCTACTGTAGGATAAAGGATTGCTGTAGTAATCAGACCTTATTCAATTGTGCCAGCAGCTGAGAAGAGAAGATCTGGAAGCACAGAATGACAGACCAAGGAAAGGCCACTGGGCAGTCCTATCAAAGCCCTGTTGGGTGACTTAGTTGGAGCTTCCAGGCGAACCAGACACATCCAAACGCTGAAATGACACTGTGAAGTGGAAGGTCAGGAGAGGTCCAGGAAAGCTTTGCCTGGCTGGGTATGTAGTCAAGCATCATGTGGTTGGACTGGGGTGCATTTGGTTAGTAGGCAAGGAGAAGACATGGATGCAGAACTGGGAAGGGAATAAAAACTAGAAGGGTCTGGACATATTTCTGTGTGTATCTGTCTCCATTCCTCATTGCAGGAATGCCTTCTGCCTCCCAAGTCTAATGCAGGTTCCCATCTTCCCACTCGATCCCAAAGACACCAGGGACAGGCATTCTGGAAAAAGTAGTTTTTTAAACAAATATTTTCTCATCCAGGGTGGCAAGCTTTCTGTTAGATTCTGATTTACTGTTTACGCTAAGATCTTCACTAAGTGAGAGGAACACAATCTTACATACCAGGTCTCCCTCTTATTTGGATGTCATATCTAATTTTCATAGAACACATCCTATGAAATCTTCCTAGAAAAGAGTGCATGGATATAAATTAAGGATACTTGCATGTCTGAAAATGACTTCTTTCTATCCTCAAATCTGATTGGTGACTTTATGAAGTATCAACTTTCAGATGGAAAGTTACTTTCACTCAGAATTTTGAGGACTTAATTCTAATTTCTTTTTAAGTCTTATTTTAATTATCTGTTTCCTTTCTCTCCAAACTCAGACCTGTTTTTTTCTCTCTGGAACATTTAGGAACTTCTGTTTAACCCTGTTATGAAAGTTCAGAATGAAAAATATAGAAATGATATCTTCTCCCTTCCTTCCTTTACACATTCATTGTTTTGGACACTTGATTGGTTTAGAAATTCATATCATTCAACTCTGGGAAATGTTCTTGTATTTATTTCTTGGTAATTTCTACTCTTTAATGTTCTTAATTTTCTGCTCTTAGAAATTCTATTAGCCAAGCCAGGTATGGTGGTGCACAGCTGTAATCCCAGTGACTTGGAGGGCTGAAGCAAGAGGATCACAAGTTCAAGGCCAGCCTCAGCAACTTAAAGAAGCCCTCAGCAACTTAGTGAGATGCTGTCTCAAAATAAAAAAAAATAAAATAAAAAGGCTGAGAATGTGTTCTTAAAATACCAGTGGTAAAATACCCCTAGGTTAAATCCCAGTTGTTGTTGTTTTTACTTTTTCTCTCCCCAGTGTTTTTTTTTTAATTCCTTTGTCTTTGTTTTTGTCTCAATATTTCATGTTAGAAACCTTATACAAATGTTGATGATCCTTGGTTGCCTATTTATATATAAGACTTAAGTAAGTAATGACATTTATATGTAAGACTTACTTCAAAGAAAGKCAACAAACTTGTGTGTAACTTTCTCTGATGACATTCAGTATAGGTTTGATAAGGCAGAGAGTTAGGTTTTGCTTCTGATGGGAATCCCAAGTATCTATATTCATTAATTCTCTTCTTTGGTGTTTCTGATAGGTCATGTTAATGGCCCTGTATTCACACCTTTTGTTATTAGACTTTTTCTTCCCCCCAAAGAGATGGGAGAGCTCTTTCTGTATCTTTGACTTGATTGGCCAATAGAGTAAGGTGGAATGATGTTGGTGTGCAAGTTCTGGGCTTGGCCTTGAAGGGTTTTGCATATTTATTTTTGCTTCTTTGCACTTCTTCCATTGCAAGATAACAGCTTGCCAGGAAGGCTGGTGGGAGCAGGAGGATGAGAGTCATGTGGAGCACAGTTTCCCCGGCTAATCTACCACAGCTTATATAACATGTCACTGGAGCTTAAGTTTTTATATGCAGCATTAGTGTTGCCATATGTGACTTAGTTGGCCTTTCCCTTTCTGCCTGTGGAGGCCTATTGGCCAAATATGTATAGAAGATTGTGGTGCAAGGTCATTGTTTTTTTTTTTTTTTGGCTACAAGTAGTGTCTTTGGAACCAATGAGAGCACTCAGCTCTTCTTAAAATTGAAGGTGTTTATGCCAGAGATGAAACTGAATTCTACTTGTACAAGAGATGTGACAATGTGCACAAAGTGAAAAACAACTCAGGGACTCCTGCAAGTAAAAGCCAAACAAAACCTGGATAATCTGACCATTGAAACAGTGGCGTAGTTCAAGTCAAATTCAGAAGTTATCTTCCTGCTAAAGCCATTGTTCATACAATCCTTGTGATACTGTGCTCCTTAAAGATCTGAACTAAAGAAAAGTAAATAAACAAAAGTGGATTTGTACTTTTGTCAAAACAAAAGATGGATTTATTCCCCCAGAGGCCAAAATACTCCAGAGAGTGAGCCTAGAATTTTGGACTAGAGAGTAGGAGAGTGACACTTGACTAGAAGCCCTCAGGATGGGGTTAGAGGACTCTTTTTTTAGTCTGCACTTTTCCACTTATTGCCTGTTTTTTTTTTATGATGCTTCACCCATGCCCTCAGTCATGACTGAACTCCCTAAGTCCAGAGGCTGTCTGATTCAATGTGTGCAGAAAATAAAACTTTCTGTCAGGTTACCTCACTGGAGGTAGGAAGGAAGAAAAAAATGAACTCAACAAATCCATAAATATTTACTGCACACCTCAGTTTCCTCAGAGGTG